TATATATATATATATATATAGATATAGATAGATAGATAGATAGATAGATAGATAGATAGATAGATAGATATATGTATATTATATATATGATATACATACATACATAATATATATATATATATATATATATATATATTATATATATATATATATATATATATATATATATAATACATGCATATACATACATACATACATATATATATATATATATATAATATATATATATATATATATATATATATATATATATATATATATATATATATATAACACACACACACACACAATACACACACACACACACCTATATATATATATATATATATATATATTATATATATATATATATATATATATATATATATATATATATATATATTATATATATATTAGTGTGTGTTGTGTGTGCGTGTGTGTGTGTCTGTATGCACACATGAGTGTATATAGATAGAAAGATAGATTAGTATAGACACACGTATATGTATCTGTGTCTGCGTGTGTACTCAGTTGAAAATCATGATGAAACCAGATGGAAGAGATTTCCGAGAATCACTGAGATCAAACAGAAGCCAGTTAAACGGCTTCACAGAAAGTAATTGAGGCTCGCGAAGTATAAGGTCTTTTCTATGCTCTGTCGACCGTCGGGGTTCTGTGTTCTCTCCCCTTTTACGTTTTTGTTTTTTTTCTCTGTCTGTCTGTTTGTTTTATTGTTCTCTCTCTCTCTCTCACTCTGTTTTTTCTGTGTCTCTGTCTCTCTTTCTGTCTCTCTCTTTCTCTCTCTCTCACTCTCTTCTCCAATCCTCTCTTTCTCATTCCCTTTTCTCTCTTTCACTTTCATTGTCTCTTTTTCTCTTTCTATCTGTCGGCTCTCTCTCTCTCTCTCTCTCTCTCTCTCTCTCTCTCTCTCTCTCTCTCTCTCTCTCTCTCTCTCTCTCTCTCTCTCTCTCTCTCTCCCTCCCTCCCTCCTCCTCTCTCTCTCTCTCTCTCTCTCTCTCTCATCTCTCTCTCTTCTCTCCCTCTCTCTCTCTCTCTCTCTCTCTCTCTCTCCTCTCTCCCTCTCTCTTCTCTCTCTCTCTCTCTCTCTCTCCTTCCTCTCCCTCTCTCTCTCTCTCTCCTCTCCTCTCATCTCCTCTCTCTCTTCTCTTCTCTCTCTTCTTCTGTCTCTCTCCCTCTCTCTCTCTCTTCTCCCCCCTCTCCCTCCTCCCCCCTTCTCTCTCTCTCCTCTTTCATTCTCTCTCCTCCCCCCCCAGAAAAAAAAGTCCCCAACACTCACCAAGTCCAAAGCCTTCCTCCCAATCTTGAGGCCGTAGATGCATCCCGCGAACCCCTTGGCCACGCCCAGGTTCTCGGCGATCTGGGAGACGATGCTCGGGACCCCGCCCACGTACAGAGGGGCGTTGATGTCCAGGGCGCGGTGGACTCCGGCTGACCTCCCCGACACCGCCTCTCCGACGCCCACTTGCAGAAGGGCGTCTCTGAGTGGAAAAGGGGCGTGGGGGGGTTTATAAGTTTATCTGTATCATTTCTACATATGTATATAGATAGATAGAGAGATAGAGAGTTAGATAGGTAGATAGACATAGATAGATAGATAGATAAATATAGATAGATATATGAATAGATAGATAGATAGATGGATAAATAGATAGATAGATCGATCGATAGATAGATAGATATATGAATAGATAGATAGGTAGTTGGATAGATAGATAGGCAGATAGATCGATAGATCGATAGATAAATAGATAGATAGATAGATGGATAAATAGGTAGATAGATCGATAGATAGATAGATATATGAATAGATAGATAGATGGATAGATAGATAGGTAGATAGAAAGATGGATAGATTGATAGATAGATAAACAGATATAGATATATAGATATGCAAAAATTTGTTACTATTTGTGTTATCATTTCTTTTGAGAAATTTACCTTTAGCTAATCCTACCAAGAAAATAATTATTTTTTTTCATTATAGATCCCATTTCACCATTACTCTCTTCCCCTTTAACCAATTGATTATTCTTGGCAGATAGATCTATTATTTTCTCTCAATGTTCTACTCCACAAAAAAAGATGAATGTGATTGTGATAGTCTATTAAACCAAGACCAAAAATAAGATTGTTTCGGTCATTCATATTAGTTTAATTGCTTCGGCTTTTATCTTCGGAAAAAAATATTTCGAGAGAAAAAAATAAATAGCTCGGGCTTAAGTAGAGAGATAAATAGATAGATAGATAGAGAGAGAGAGAGAGGGGAGAGAGGGAGGGAGGGAGAGAGAGAGAAGAGAGAGAGGGGGAGAGAGAGAAGAGAGAAGGAGAGGAGAGAGAGAGAGGAGAGAGAGAGAGAGAGAGAGAGAGAGAGAGAGAGAGAGAGAGAGAGAGAGAGAGAGAGAGAGAGGAGAGAGAGAGAGAGAGAGAGAGAGAGAGAGAGAGAGAGAGAGAGAGAGAGGAGAGAGAGAAAGAGAGAGGGAGGAGGGGAGAGAGAGAGAGG